TGTTTAGATAGCAAGCAAACGTTTTCTCCCTGCCAGAGGTACGAAACCGCTTCCTCGATATCTATGGGACTTGGAAGATCTGAAAAATAAGACTGGTGGCGAGTACACACATGAGCCTCTGCGAATCAGACGGTGAGGTCTTTAGCGAGCTGATTAGCTATTTTTTATTGCATTGACAGTTCAAAAGTGGGTATAGTAATGGCGGCGAATTCTATATTTGACCTTAAGAAGAGCCGCAACTTTGTTCCAATCCTATTTTGGCCAAGTTATCTTTTCAGTCTCGGAGGACGTGATCCCGAAACAGGAAGGAAAGTAAACCAGCATATAGGAGGCGGAGTCAAATTTGACTACTTCATGATCGACTATCATAGAAGGTATCTTACCATATAGCTTATTACTGTGAATTGAGCTATGTGTCATCATCTCAGAAGCAGTAAGAATTTATGAGCACAATTGTACGATAGTGGATTTGCGTTTCCAAAGAAAGAAAATTAATATAAGATACATATTAAGGTCGGAATAACACTCAGTTATCATTGAGATCTCACAAAACACTTTTGCTTAAGCTACATTTTCTAGAGGACCAATAGAAGCTGGACAGACGTATGATGAGAGAGTTTTGGAAGTGCGGCGTGATCCTAACAGGACATCGCTCATAGCTCTCGTAGCTGGTAAGGATGGAAAGCGATGGATTCTTGCGACTGAACACATGAAGTGATTTTTAGCTATAGCCATAATTGGCTTTTTCTACCGATTCTATTTTTAGGGCTGGAGACATCATCTCTACAAGTTGTCATATACCGGAAAATCCAGTTATTGGAGTAGAAGGGAATGCGTATCCGATTGGTGCCCTGGTAGCAGGAACTTTGATCAACAGGTTTTCCTTAGCTTTAAATTTCTTTATTGTTTCCAATATTTGAATGGAAAATGAAGGAAATTATAGTGTTGAACGATTTCCTGATGTTCGAGAAAATCTGGACAGTGATGTGTTTGTTGTCAAAGCTGGAACCGCTGCAACCATTGTACGACACCAAGGCGATTTTACAGTGATCCGGGTCAGCTGCTGATTTTATTCTCTATTTTCAATCAATTTTTTTTATTTGGCACATTAATGACAAGAAAATTTATGGTGCTTTAACTATCTTAATTTCTTCTTTGATATTATTTGTTTGTTTTCTTTCTTTAAAACAAGTGAAACATG